CCATCTCCTACCTACTAGCCTCATCCCGCCCCCTTGACCTGTCCGTCCTCCCTGGGCTGACTTACCTCCTCCCTACCTCCCCACCTACACTCACCTTTATTGGCTCCATCCCCGCCTCTTTGACCTGTCTGTCTCCTCTCCACCTATCTTCTCCTCTATCCATCTTCTATCCGCCTCCCCCTCTCTCCCTATTTATTTCAGAACCCCCTTCCCCTCCCCCATTTCTGAAGAAGGGTCTAGGCCCGAAACATCAGCTTTCCTGCTCCTCTGATGCTGCTTGGCCTGCTGTGTTCATCCAGCTCTACACCTTGTTATCTCAGATTTTCCAGCATCTGCAGTTCCTACTATCTCTGAAACACTTTTCTCCCCTCCTGGTTCTGAAACATTGAGGTGTTAAATGAGGAAAAGAAATATTTGATTGCTAAATGAGGAAAGGATTTCATTGATTGATTGGCTTTAATCCAGTCCTCAGCATTACCGTTATTGTTACCTGCCTTTTCAAAGCAAAGTCATTTTCAAAAAGGAAGTCTTGACATTAAAATATTGCCACATGAATTCATGGCTTGCAGTTAAATCTTTAATTTCCTTGTAGTCAACCTTCAGTGGTGCTCAGAAATGATCTTTACCCAGGAAAAAGGGACTTGCATTTATATGGCTCCTTCCATGGATTGGATGTTCTCCCAAGTATTTTGCAGCCACTAAGATAAAGCCACTGTCGTGATCCATCTTTCAGCACAGTCTAGTTAATGGTCCAGGGCTGATTGTGGCAACCCAGTTGCTAGTTTGTCTGCAACAATCAGGTTGTGTGTTGTTGATGGAACCAGGAGGGAAGTCTGCTGGCTGGCCAGCTCCTCAGGATTGACATCGGGAATCGTTACACGCCCTACGGATTTTAGCTGCCCACACTTCTGACCAAAAAACCTCTTATTTAGGAGCCCAAACTACAGAATATGCATGGTGAGCCACGCCCTCTGATCACTAATTGACAAAACCAACAACAAATCACAATGAAAGTGTCTCACCATACAGGTTAGGACCTGGAAATAATCTTGACATCATGGACTATCAGCCCTTGGGAACATCAGCCCTTGGGAACATCAGCCATTGTCCCAGTGTGGGAATGGAATATAAAAGTTGGGTAGTCATGCTACAATCATATGGGTCATTGGTGAGACCGCACCCAGAATACTGTGTACAGTGTTAGTCTCCAAACTTAAGAAGAGATAGATTTGGATTGTGCTGTTGGATTGTTCACTCGGCTAATTCCAGGGATGAAGGCTTTGTTTTATGTGAGAATGTTGAGCAGTTTGGCTCCATAGCTAATGAGATTTAAAAGAATGAGAGGCGATCCTATTCAAGCGTATCAGGTTGTGAGGGGACTTGACAGGACGAGGGCTGAGGGGATGTTTCCTCTTGTGGGGGAATCAAGAACCAGGGGAAACTACTTGAAAATTGTGATCAGAACCAGGTGCTGAATGTTCAGGGATATTTGACATTTAGGAAGGACAGATGAAAAGGGAAAGGAGGTAGACTTGCACCGATAATAGAAGATAGGATCAGTATATTAGTAAAGGAGGATCTCAGATCAGACAACAATGTGTTGAATCTGTTTGGTTGCAGCTAAGAAACAGCAAGGGGATGCAGACGTTGGTTGGAGTTATTTGAAGGTCATCAAAAAGGAATGGTAGTCTGGGGCATGGTATAATCTGAAGGTGAGAGAAGCTTGTGGTATTTGCAACATAAAAATGGGTCATTTTAATTTGCATGTAGATTGGGTAAACCAATTGAGTACTAAACCTATAAATGACAAATTTCTGGAGTGACTTAGAGATAGTTTTCTATAGCAGCATGTTAAGCCACCTAAAGGACAGGCTGTTTTGGATCTAGTATTATGCAATTAAAAAAGCCTAATTAATCATATTATTGTAAAAGAATCTTTTAGAATAAATGACCCCAAGATGGTAGAATTTTATATAATGTTTGAAAGTGAGGTAGTTTAATCTGAAGCTAGGGTGTTTAATTTGACCAAGGGAAATTATGAAAGCATGAGACACAAGTTGATTGAGTTAGCTGGGAGATAATACATTATAAGGCATGACTGTACGTATGCAATGGACAGCATTTAAAGAACTATTATATGGCTTATAGCAACTGTACATTCCTTCATGGGGCAAACACTCAAAAAGGTCAGTTAACTATGGTTGACAAAGGAAGTTCACAATTGTTTAAGATTAAAAGAAAAGGCTCATAACGTGGTCAGAAATAGTAGTAAATCTGAGAATTGGGAAAACTTTAGAATACGGCAAAGGAGGATCAAGAAACTGCTGAGGAATGAAATAGAATCCAAATGTAATCTATCAAAAATAGATATAAATGCATTGTAAAGCTTCAACAAATACGTAAAAGGGAAACATTTGGTTAAAGTGAATTTGGGTTAGGAGAATTTACTGTGGGGAATAGAGAAATGGCAGAGGAGCTAAATGATTACTTAGTCTGTTTTCACTGAGGAAGATACAAGTGACTAGGGAGAGTGAGGAGTTGAAGGAAATTGGTATTAGCAAGAAGGTTATTCTGGAGAAATTAATGGGCCTGAAAGTTGCTAAGTCCCCAGGACCGGATAGTCTACATCCCAGAGTGTACTAAAGGTGGCTTTAGACATAGTTGATGTATTGGTGATCATCTTCCAAACTTTCATCGATTCAGGAATGATTCCTGCAGATTGGTAGCTTTCAAAAGTGATCCTACTATTTAAGAAAGGAGCAAGGGAAGAAAGAACAGAGAATTGCAAGTCTGTCAGCCTTGCATCAGTAATAGGGAAAACACTAGGACCTAACATAAAGCCTGTGATAATAGACATTTGAATAAAAAATGATCTAATTGAACGTAGTCAGCATGGATTTGCAAATTGAAAAAACTTGGAGGAGTTTTCTGAGGAAGTTATGAACTAAATTGATGAAAGGAAGTCAATGGATGTGTTATATATGAATTTTCAGATGGCTATTGATAAGGTTCCCTCACAGGAGGCTGGTTAGAAAAATTAAAGCACATGGTCTAGGAGGTAATGTGCTGGCATGGATTAAGGGTTGACTAACAGAAGAAAACAGAGAATAAGAATAAATGGGTCATTCTTGTATTGGCAGTCTGCGACTAGTCGGGTACCACAAGGATCATGTAATGTTCCTAAATTTGCATAAGCTAAGCTTAATTGCGTGTTGTTAGAAAAATGTAATACAGTTGCAGGAAGATTTGGACGAGCTTAGTGATTATGCAAGCACATGGCAGATGTAATATAATGTGTCAAAATGTAAGGCTATTCACCTGGTAAGAAGGACAGATGTGTGGAGTGTTTCCTAAATGGTGAGACATTGGAAAGTGTAGGTGTGGACAAGTAAGTGGGAAAATACATGGTAGATGCAATACAATGTGGATAAATGTGAGATTATTCACTTTGGTAGCAAAAACAGACAGGCAGTTAATGTCTGGCTATAAACTGGGAAAGAGGAGTGTGCAGCAGGACCTGGGTGTCCTTGTGCACCAGTCACTGAAGGTAAGTATGCAGGTGCAGCAGGTGGTAAAGAAGGCAAATGGTATGTTGTCCTTCAAAGCGAGAAGATCTGAGTGCAGGACCAGGAATGTCTTGCTGCAACTGTACAAGGCATTGGTGAGACCACACATGGAATATTGTGTGCAGTTTTGGTCTCCTTATCTGAGGAAGGATATAGAGAGAAAGCAGAAACAGGATACTGAGTTGAATATTCAGTTAACTTGGTAATATTGAATAGAAGTAGGCTCAAAGGGCCGAATTGCGTACCCCTGCTCCTATATTCTGTGCTTCTATGTACAAAAGGAGCTGGATGTTTTTAGTAATAGGTCACTGAACGCTAACATGTGACAGGAGCAGTGAATCTTGCTTCAACTCTCAGGGGCTTGGTTAGACTGCACCTGGAGGACTGTGTGCAGTTTTAGCCTCCTTATCTCAGAAAAGTCATTATTGCCAATGAGGGAGTTCAACGAAGGTGCACCAGACTTGTTCCTGAGATGGCAGGACTGTCCTAACGAGAGAAATTGGGTAAACTGGGCTTGTATTCTCTAGAGTTTTGAAGAATGAGAGATTATCTCATTGGAATATATAAAATCTTAAGGGGGTACACAGGTAAGATGTTTGCCGTGGTTGAAAAGTCTAGAACTAAATGACTCAATTTAAAAATGAGGTGGATGTCATTTAGGGCCAAGGTGAGGAGAAATATTTTTAATGTGAGAGTGCTGAATCTTTGAAATTCCATAGAGCGCTGTAGAAGCTCAGTATTTGAGTATATTTAAAGTAGAAACTGGTAAATGTTTCATAATCAGTGGCTCACAGGGTTAGCGGGTATGTGAATAAAATACATGATTTTCTCTCTCTAAGCTGTGGTTGTTTCCCCTAAAGTTAAAAAAGTCCAAAGTTTAGACATTTCTAATATAACTTAAAGCATAATAGTTACCTTGCTAAGTCATGAAATATCCAATGTAAACAGAAACCCATTAGTGCTGTCAAAATGGTCTCACAAACTGGCTTAAAATAAATTGCCGTGGCTACAGAAATACTTCTAAGTCAGTTATTAACGTTAGACACTTACATGTTGCTAACCCAGCTCAAAATATATGATACTAAAAAGAAATATCAATCACACAGCTTATATCACACCCTCAAAATAAAAATCCTACCAATTAAATCTGTTCTTCTCTTTCCTGGGCTCTGTCTGACCTGCTGAATGTTTTCTAGCATTTCCTTTTGTATTTTGTACCTATCTAAGCAAATATTATCAGAACAACTTCATCCTTTTGTTCCTGGCTGTGCCTTTTATCTCCAGATGTGTGGAAAATAAATGATCAAACTACAAGGAAGGTTGGAATGTTTGCAGGGAAGGGCTGATGATGGTGGACTGCATCAAGATCAGTGGTGCCATGGTATATACATTGCCTGCTATCACCTGCCACATACTATTTCTTTTGATCACCAGGGGATTGAAACTGGCCGATTTTCAGTATGCCAAGGTCAATTACCAGACTGTAAGGTGTCAGAGATGTCATTCCCTGTCCCGTATGACCTTCCTCCAGAACACTACGGTCACAAAGGTAGGTGATAGATGGCTGTGTCTTCACGTTCAGTGTTCAAAATATAGATGCCTTTAAGGCTCATTAGAACGGCTCCAGAGTTGATTAAGGGTAGATGCTGCACATCGGACTTTATAAAGGGCTCTTGTGACATAGTGGTAGTGTTCCTACCTCTGAGTCAGAAAACCTAGGTTCAAGTACTCCGTTACTCGCGTGCCAGCTTTAATCTCCGTGCTCAAGCCGTGGAAGGGGCCGTAGAGATCTATAGCACAGAAAAAGGCCCTTTGGTCCATCATAAAATGAATGCTCAACCTTCAGAGTTCCCACGTACCTGCAGCTCAGTGTCTGTTAATGGCCTTTCTCACTCCAAAATCTTAGTGTAATTTCTTTTTGACGTTGAACATGGAATGCAACCAGTGTTGACGATGAGCAATATCTTCACTCATTATTGTATAGAAAAATACAAATTCTGTAATGGTCAAAGGGTTTCAGTGTGATTTAAATCTGCGTGCTGTCAGTTTATGTGGTATAATTTGACTGCAAGGCCTGTTAATATACAGAGGAACAGAGGAAATGAATGAATTAATAATGTATTCCAACTGATGCTAAACATTTTTCACATCATACACCTCAGCCTAATTGATATTCAGCATAAAAAGAGGTTTTAAGAGCTGTCATTTGCTTATTCAATTATTCACAGTCAGAGCATAATTTTTAAAAATCTTTCTTGATATATCTAAACATTTTAACAATCGCTTCCTCTTCGACTCCTCTTATTTTTGGTGCAGCTTTTTCTTTAAAAACAAATTTTGAGCTTGAGTACAGTTAGCAGATGTTCTTAGGCGACGCTTTGTGCCAGACTCCTACATCCCTGTTTATGGTCTGGTCAGTCTGGACCTGGGTAACAATGGTGAACATATATAATATCAGAAGAGAAGGCAAAAGATATAAAGGAAAGATCTTTGTCCCCTTCAAGCTACGCATCATCCTGACTCGGATCCTTTGTCAGGTGAAAATCCTGGAACTCCCTCCCTGATCACAGTATGGGGCACCCAGAGCACGTGGAACGCGGCGTTGCAAGAAAGTGGCCCAACAGTTCCTTTCAAGGGCACCTAGGGGTGGGCAGTAAATCCTTTGTCATATGGCTTAGCATTCATGAGTTTTGGATCAAAACAAATACGTTAAGGAGAACATAGAACGTGGAACTGTACAGCACAGGAATGGGCTGTGCCAAACATGATGCCAAATGAAACTAATCCCTTCTGCCTGCCCTAGGTCCATATCCCTCCATTCCTTGCATTTTCATGTGCTTATCTAAAAGTCCCTTAAATGCCCCTTTTGTATCTGTCTCCACCACCACCCCAGGCAGTGCGTTCCAGACTCCTACCACTCATGTCTCCTTTGAACTCTCCCCCTCTAACCTTAAATGCATGCCCCCTAGTATTAGACATTTCAACTCTGGGAAAAAGATTCTGACCATCAACCCTATCTATGCATCTCATAATTTTATAGACTGCTATCAAGTCTCCCCTCAGCCTCTGCCACTCCAGAGAAAACAACCCAAGTTTTTCTAGCCTCTCCTTATAGCTCATACCCTCTAATCCAGGCAGCATCCTGGTAAACCTCTTCTGTACCCTCTCCAAAACCTCCACATCCCTCCTGTACTGGGGTGACCAAAACTGAACACAATACTCTAAGTGTGGCCTAACCAAAGTCTTATAAAGCTGCAACATGACATCCTGACTCTTGTATTCAGTTTCCCGCCCAATAAAGGCAAGCATGCCATATGCCTTCTTTACCACCCTATCTACTTGCGTGGCCACTTTCGGGGAGCTATGGACTTGAACCCCAAGATCCTTCTGTACATCAATGCTGTTCAGAGTCCATAATACTGTAAAACAGAGGAGCAGAATTAGGCCATTCAGCCCATCGAGTCTGCTCCATTATTCAATCATGGCTGATAAGTTTCTCAACCCCATTCTTCTGCTTTCTCCCTGTCCTGCCATTAACTGTATACTTTTCCTTAACATTTGATCTCCAAAGTGCAGCGCCTCATGCTTACCTGGATTAAACCTCATCTGCCGTTTCTCCGCCCATACCTGCAACTGATCAATATCCCGCATTAACCTTTGACAACCTTCTACACTATCCACAACTCCACCGATCTACATTACTAACCCAACCATCTACATTTTCATCTAAGCCATTTATATAAATCACAAACAGCAGAGGTCCCATTACGGATCCCTGCGGAACACCAATAGTCACGGACTTCCAGCCTGAAAAACACCCTTCCACCATTACCCTCTGTCTTCTTTGGGCAAGCCAATTCTGAATCCACGGGGCATGAACCTCATGCATCTTAGTTTTCTGGATGAGCCTATCATTAGGGACCTTGTCGAAAACCTTACTAAAATCCATGTAAACAACATCCACTGCCATCGATCATCTTCGTCACCTCCTCGAACAATTCAATCAAGCTAGTAAGACATGACCAGCCCTGTGCAAAGCCATGTTGACTATTCCTAATTAGTCCCAAATGCCCTGTAATGTCTGAAATGTGCGTAAATCCTATCCCTAAGAATTCTCTCCAATAGATTCCCAACCACCGACGTCAGACTCACAGGTCTGTAGTTTCCTGGATTATCCCTATTTCCATTCTTGAACAGAGGAACAACATTAGCTACTTGCCAGTCCTCTGGGACTCCTCTAGTGACTCGCAATGATACAAAGATCTTGGTCAAGACCCCAGCAATCTCCTCTCTTACTTCTCTCAATAACCTGGTGTAGATACCATCAGGCTGTGAGACTTATCCACCTTAATGCTCTTCAAGAGATCCAACACCACTTCTTTCTTGATCTCAAAATGCTCTAGCATATTAGCATGCTCCACACAACTCTCACTATCTTCCACATCCTCTTTCTAGGTGAAAACCGATGCAAAGTACTCATTTAGGCAAGGCCTGACTTCAGCGTTGGACTTCTTTATAACATTGTTTATTGCATATAAAGATTAAATTCTACAATACATTGTTGAAAGACTATTCCATAAACTCTATAAACCTCTGCTTAAATCTCTGTATATTTCTCTCTCTCTCTCTCTCTCCTGCCTCACTCTGCTGTGCTATTTATGCCCAGTGAGGAGCAGCTCCCTGACATCACTTCACTATTGCTCCAGGGTCCTAAATCCTTTGCACAATAATAAATGCTTTGCTTGCTAACAGTGCCCACATTCCATGAATAAACAAAAAAAAACGCGTATGCTGCAGCTGTACAGGGTGCTGGTGAGGCCAAACCTGGAGTACAGTGTACAGATTTGGTCTCCTTACTTGAGAAAGGGTGTACTGGCACTGGAGTGGGTGCAGAGGAGGTTCGCTACGTTGATTCCAGAGTTGGCTTATGAGGACAGATTGAGTAGACAGGCAACTATACTCATTGGAATTAAGAAGTCTGAGGAGGGATCTTATAGAAACATATAAAATTATGAAGGGAATAGATAAGATAGCATAGCCTCAAAATAAAGGGAAGCAGATATAGGACTGAGGTCAGGAGGAACTTCTTCACCCAAAGGGTTGTGCATCTGTGGAATTCCCTGCCCAGTGAAGCGGTTGAAGTTACCTCGCTGAATGTTTTTAAGGCAAGGCTAGATAAATTTTTGAACAGTAAAGGAATTAAGGGTTACGGTGAGTGGGCAGGTAAGTGGAGCTGAGGCCACGAAAGGATCAGCCATCACTTTTTTGGATGGCAGAGTAGGCTCGATGGGTCAGATGGCCTCCTCCTGCTCCTATTTATTGTGTTCTTATGCCTTCCTGACCTCTAGGTGTCCCAAATTGCACTGCAGCCAAAGTCAATGGCAAATAAAGTGTAGCTGGTGTTTGTAGTGCTATTTTGAGAGCAAAGAGTCCTACAAGCGGCAGTGAGGTAATCATCTAGGCACTTTTTTTTTTGTGATTTTGTTTGAGGAATAAACATTGACCAGGGGAGAACTCCAGAAGTATTCAGGGATGTATGGCAGAAGTGGGAATACAAAGGTAGGTTACAGATCATTGATAAGCTCATTGAATGGAGAAACAGGCTCAAAGGAGACACTTGGCCTCTTCCTAGAACAGGATGAGTTCCTTAAACCTTCCTGCCCTGATCCCTGTCACATTGCTCTGGTTACTGCAAGTCTCTAAATTCAGGCATCAGTAAGAGAGAGGCTAGAGTCTGCGTCAGCCCATCTGAGTTTAGCCAGTTGAGGACAAGTTTGGAGTTGAGATATGAAGACTACTTAGTCTATAAACTTTGGGGGTGTTAATACTCAAGGAATCAAGTCAAATCTCAAATGTTTCTGTTTCTTAGTTAGAAATTTATCAGACACACGTGGGAAAAATTGACTGTTTGGCCAACAGTCTAGAATCTTCCTGTCATCTGGGAAAAGTTTACCAGCTGTGAGAAGGAGGTACATGCACAGGAATTGGAGATTTGGGTGACCGATGAGCAGGAGTTTGGGGGCAGGGACTTCAGGGGCAGCAGGTCATGAGATGAGACCTCCAGGTCCATGTCCAAGCAAAGCAATCTGATTCTATGCCCATGACCTCTGCCCTCCAGCTTATCCAAGAGAGCAAATGCCCAGTTCTGTTTACGAATGGTACCTTTAGTCATCACACAGCTGTCCACATTGCCCTTTTGATATTTCTCGGATCTGTTATTTAATCCTCAGTATTTGTAACAAAAAAAAATTCCAAACAGTGATATGCTTTCATTTCCATTGACATAATTACTTTTCTCATGTACATTCACTCGGAGGTGAGACTTCTTGGTTGGTGGTCATGTTTCAGTTTTCCCTGTCTATGCCAGTGTGAGGAGAGCAACTTGCATTTATATAGCACTTTCACAGCCAAGTACTTTTAGAAGCAGAAACACTATTAAAATGCAAGCCTCAAGTCAACACAGCAAGATCCCACAAATAGCAATGTGATAATAATCAGGTAGTGATCAAAAAGCAGAATAATGTGGGTGCAGGGGATCTGAGATGAAAG